ATTTCCACATCATAACATCAGAAAAATGACAAAAAAATGAAAAAAAAATAAAATTTTAAATTTGAATGCAGTTTTGTAGAGAATTGCTCCACAAACATTTAGAGGTATCCCACTTCAAATTCCGATTAAGATAAGTTGAGTTATGGAGGTTAGAACTTCAGCCTCGGGACATTTTTGAATTTCCACAACATCATAACATCAGAAAAATGACAAAAAAATGAAAAAAAAATAAAATTTTAAATTTGAATGCAGTTTTGTAGAGAATTGCTCCACAAACATTTAGAGGTATCCCGCTTCAAATTCCGATTTATATTAGTTGAGTTATGGACTGCAGAACTTCAGCCTAGGGACATTTTTGAATTTCCACATCATAACATCAGAAAAATGACAAAAAAAATGAAAAAAAATAAAATTTTAAATTTGAATGCAGTTTTTTAGAGAATTGCTCCAGAAACATTTAGAGGTATCCCACTTCAAATTACGATTAAGATTAGTTGAGTTATGGAGTTTAGAACTTCAGCCTCGGGACATTTTTGAATTTCCACAACATCATAACATCAGAAAAATGACAAAAAAATGAAAAAAAAATAAAATTTTAAATTTGAATGCAGTTTTGTAGAGAATTGCTCCACAAACATTTAGAGGTATCCCGCTTCAAATTCCGATTTATATTAGTTGAGTTATGGACTGCAGAACTTCAGCCTCGGGACATTTTTGAATTTCCACATCATAACATCAGAAAAATGACAAAAAAATTAAAAAAAAATAAAATTTTAAATTTGAATGCAGTTTTGTAGAGAATTGCTCCACAAACATTTAGAGGTATCACGCTTCAAATTCCGATAACGATTAGTTGAGATATGGACTTTAGAACTTCAGCCTAGGGACATTTTTGAATTTCCACAACATCATAACATCAGAAAAATGACAAGAAAATTTAAAAAAATTAAAATTCTAAATTTGAATGCAGTTTTTTAGAGAATTGCTCCAGAAACATTTAGAGGTATCCCACTTCAAATTCCGATTTATATTAGTTGAGTTATGGACTGCAGAACTTCAGCCTAGGGACATTTTTGAATTTCCACAACATCATAACATCAGAAAAATGACAAAAAAAATAAAATTTTAAATTTGAATGCAGTTTTTTAGAGAATTGCTCCAGAAACATTTAGAGGTATCCCACTTCAAATTCCGATTTATATTAGTTGAGTTATGGAGTTTAGAACTTCAGCCTCGGGACATTTTTGAATTTCCACAACATCATAACATCAGAAAAATGACAAAAAAATGAAAAAAAAATAAAATTTTAAATTTGAATGCAGTTTTTTAGAGAATTGCTCCACAAACATTTAGAGGTATCCCACTTCAAATTCCGATTAAGATAAGTTGAGTTATGGTGTTTAGAACTTCAGCCTCGGGACATTTTTGAATTTCCACATCATAACATCAGAAAAATGACAAAAAAATGAAAAAAAAATAAAATTTTAAATTTGAATGCAGTTTTGTAGAGAATTGCTCCACAAACATTTAGAGGTATCCCACTTCAAATTCCGATTAAGATAAGTTGAGTTATGGAGTTTAGAACTTCAGCCTCGGGACATTTTTGAATTTCCACAACATCATAACATCAGAAAAATGACAAAAAAATGAAAAAAAAAATAAAATTCTAAATTCGAATGCAGTTTTTTAGAGAATTGCTCCAGTAACATTTAGAGGTATCCCACTTCAAATTCCGATTAAGATAAGTTGAGTTATGGAGTTTAGAACTTCAGCCTTGGGACATTTTTGAATTTCCACATCATAACATCAGAAAAATGACAAAAAAAATGAAAAAAAATAAAATTTTAAATTTGAATGCAGTTTTTTAGAGAATTGCTCCAGAAACATTTAGAGGTATCCCACTTCAAATTACGATTAAGATTAGTTGAGTTATGGAGTTTAGAACTTCAGCCTCGGGACATTTTTGAATTTCCACAACATCATAACATCAGAAAAATGACAAAAAAATGAAAAAAAAATAAAATTTTAAATTTGAATGCAGTTTTTTAGAGAATTGCTCCACAAACATTTAGAGGTATCCCACTTCAAATTCCGATTAAGATAAGTTGAGTTATGGTGTTTAGAACTTCAGCCTCGGGACATTTTTGAATTTCCACATCATAACATCAGAAAAATGACAAAAAAATGAAAAAAAAATAAAATTTTAAATTTGAATGCAGTTTTGTAGAGAATTGCTCCACAAACATTTAGAGGTATCCCACTTCAAATTCCGATTAAGATAAGTTGAGTTATGGAGTTTAGAACTTCAGCCTCGGGACATTTTTGAATTTCCACAACATCATAACATCAGAAAAATGACAAAAAAATGAAAAAAAAAATAAAATTCTAAATTCGAATGCAGTTTTTTAGAGAATTGCTCCAGTAACATTTAGAGGTATCCCACTTCAAATTCCGATTAAGATAAGTTGAGTTATGGAGTTTAGAACTTCAGCCTTGGGACATTTTTGAATTTCCACATCATAACATCAGAAAAATGACAAAAAAAATGAAAAAAAATAAAATTTTAAATTTGAATGCAGTTTTTTAGAGAATTGCTCCAGAAACATTTAGAGGTATCCCACTTCAAATTACGATTAAGATTAGTTGAGTTATGGAGTTTAGAACTTCAGCCTCGGGACATTTTTGAATTTCCACAACATCATAACATCAGAAAAATGACAAAAAAATGAAAAAAAAATAAAATTTTAAATTTGAATGCAGTTTTGTAGAGAATTGCTCCAGAAACATTTAGAGGTATCCCACTTCAAATTCCGATTTATATTAGTTGAGTTATGGACTGCAGAACTTCAGCCTCGGGACATTTTTGAATTTCCACATCATAACATCAGAAAAATGACAAAAAAATGAAAAAAAAATAAAATTTTAAATTTGAATGCAGTTTTGTAGAGAATTGCTCCACAAACATTTAGAGGTATCACGCTTCAAATTCCGATAACGATTAGTTGAGATATGGACTTTAGAACTTCAGCCTAGGGACATTTTTGAATTTCCACAACATCATAACATCAGAAAAATGACAAGAAAATTTAAAAAAATTAAAATTCTAAATTTGAATGCAGTTTTTTAGAGAATTGCTCCAGAAACATTTAGAGGTATCCCACTTCAAATTCCGATTTATATTAGTTGAGTTATGGACTGCAGAACTTCAGCCTAGGGACATTTTTGAATTTCCACAACATCATAACATCAGAAAAATGACAAAAAAAATAAAATTTTAAATTTGAATGCAGTTTTTTAGAGAATTGCTCCAGAAACATTTAGAGGTATCCCACTTCAAATTCCGATTTATATTAGTTGAGTTATGGAGTTTAGAACTTCAGCCTCGGGACATTTTTGAATTTCCACAACATCATAACATCAGAAAAATGACAAAAAAATGAAAAAAAAATAAAATTTTAAATTTGAATGCAGTTTTTTAGAGAATTGCTCCACAAACATTTAGAGGTATCCCACTTCAAATTCCGATTAAGATAAGTTGAGTTATGGTGTTTAGAACTTCAGCCTCGGGACATTTTTGAATTTCCACATCATAACATCAGAAAAATGACAAAAAAATGAAAAAAAAATAAAATTTTAAATTTGAATGCAGTTTTGTAGAGAATTGCTCCACAAACATTTAGAGGTATCCCACTTCAAATTCCGATTAAGATAAGTTGAGTTATGGAGTTTAGAACTTCAGCCTCGGGACATTTTTGAATTTCCACAACATCATAACATCAGAAAAATGACAAAAAAATGAAAAAAAAAATAAAATTCTAAATTCGAATGCAGTTTTTTAGAGAATTGCTCCAGTAACATTTAGAGGTATCCCACTTCAAATTCCGATTAAGATAAGTTGAGTTATGGAGTTTAGAACTTCAGCCTAGGGACATTTTTGAATTTCCACATCATAACATCAGAAAAATGACAAAAAAAATGAAAAAAAAAATAAAATTTTAAATTTGAATGCAGTTTTTTAGAGAATTGCTCCAGAAACATTTAGAGGTATCCCACTTCAAATTACGATTAAGATTAGTTGAGTTATGGAGTTTAGAACTTCAGCCTCGGGACATTTTTGAATTTCCACAACATCATAACATCAGAAAAATGACAAAAAAATGAAAAAAAAATAAAATTTTAAATTTGAATGCAGTTTTGTAGAGAATTGCTCCACAAACATTTAGAGGTATCCCGCTTCAAATTCCGATTTATATTAGTTGAGTTATGGACTGCAGAACTTCAGCCTCGGGACATTTTTGAATTTCCACATCATAACATCAGAAAAATGAAAAAAAATTAAAAAAAAAATAAAATTTTAAATTTGAATGCAGTTTTGTAGAGAATTGCTCCACAAACATTTAGAGGTATCACGCTTCAAATTCCGATAACGATTAGTTGAGATATGGACTTTAGAACTTCAGCCTAGGGACATTTTTGAATTTCCACAACATCATAACATCAGAAAAATGACAAGAAAATTTAAAAAAATTAAAATTCTAAATTTGAATGCAGTTTTTTAGAGAATTGCTCCAGAAACATTTAGAGGTATCCCACTTCAAATTCCGATTTATATTAGTTGAGTTATGGACTGCAGAACTTCAGCCTAGGGACATTTTTGAATTTCCACAACATCATAACATCAGAAAAATGACAAAAAAATAAAATTTTAAATTTGAATGCAGTTTTTTAGAGAATTGCTCCAGAAACATTTAGAGGTATCCCACTTCAAATTCCGATTAAGATTAGTTGAGTTATGGACTGCAGAACTTCAAAAAAATTAATAAAAAATAAATTTTCAAATTTGAATGCAGTTTTTTAGAGTTAATTAAGATAAGTTGAGTTATGGCGTTTAGAACTTCAGACTTTTAATTTACCAGTCAAAATAGTTTACAATAGGTGATTCCACCTGGGATGTTTGATCGTTTATTACTTTTTAAAAAGTAATGGAAATCATTGGTTAATTATTTATGTACTTCAGAAATATTTATAGGGTTTCTTTCAGGCGCATTTAGATCATCACGTTCTCTGTTCTCCAAATTGTTGTCATTAGACATAATGTTTGCTTGAAGGGTAGCAGAAGGGATCTTTTGTCGCCGCAAAAGACCATCAAATCCACACAGCGGGGCTTCGATTATTAGGTACGAAATGTAGGACATAAGCACAGTAAAGCCAAGGTCATAAAAGAAACGTTGCATCTGCAAGATAAGTAATGTTAAATCATCAATGTTACAAGTACTATTACAACCATGACTTACCACGAAGTAGTTGCTGAAGTATGTATTAGTCCGCACATTTCTGCTATTCACCTCTTGGACAAACATGTGCCAAATATACACGGAGTAGGAAAGCCTAGAAAGGGGCTGCCACAAGGGTGTGGAGAGGAAACTGTTGGCCAAGCCACCGTAGCCCTGCATGCAGGCGAAAATTATCCAACAAATAGCCAACGGCCAAGCCAACCGGGTAAGGGTGTAGTATAGGGATTCCTCCAGCGTGGAAAGAGGAGGAGCATTCCACATGGAAGCCGGATATAGAGCGAAGATCGATGTAAAAAGCAAAGCCAGGCTAAGAAGCCAGCCTATCCAAACTGTAGGCCTACTTAACTGAAACTTCTTTTCGCGATTTGTATACAGAAAATAGCCAAATAGGAATCCAATAAGCCAGGGAGCAGCGTGTGTGTGTGTGGCTAGATACAATTTTTTGTTGGCAACTTCGTCATCCCCGTCGTTGTTTCTGTGTAGATCAAGTTAATGTCAAAGTTCCGAATATAAAACAGTATCTTACTTAATAAGCATCGAGTAGTGGTTGACCATCTGGGTAGCAAAAAGACAGCCGGATAGCAAAACCACGAGAACTGCAATTCCAGCAGCCGCCTTCTTGCCCCATTTGTAAAGAGCGATCAGGAGGATTGGAGAGATGATAAAGAGCTGCATGTCCACTGCCAAGTACCAAGTGTGATCCAGGCACTGAAATCTGTAATGAAGTTCATGCATTAAGGAGACACATATTATAACGCAGTTGATAAAGTTAATCATCGAATTATCTCCATGTAGTTGCGATATCCGTATCTGATTAGCCCGATTACGTTGTGTATTACTCACAATGTTCTGCACTGCATAGTTCTGAATGAACAGCAAGGTCCAGAGCCACCCATTTTCACAATACTCCATGCCATGGTAACCGTGTTTGAACATTGGACCACCACTGACTACTGTCATCATTTTCGTATAGATTAGTATGGCAATGGCCACGACAGGTAAAATCCGTAGTATCCGATGCAGATACATCAAAACTGGGTTTAGTCTTCCTCCGGTTCTATCAAGAGCTCACATATAATATCGTTTTTAAATGCCACTTGATGTACCAACTTCTCCATAGAACGTAGAGCTATCATAGATACCAAAAGACCTCCCAGGACGAAGAAAGAGTCTACTGCGAAGTAACCGTGCAGCACAACACTGGAAAGCGGTTTTGCGGCCCACTGAAGCATACGCATTATTAGTAATTACTTCCACATTTGATTGTTAGGTATCCTTACGTAATACAAATCAATCGTGTTTAGGTTTGGTGATGTCAGAGAAAATATAAATTCATGGCTGTAGATAACCCAAAAAAGTGTCATGCAGCGGATGCCGTGCAAACACCCGATCACATGTGGGTTACTTTTGTTTGGGGCGATGCGGAAAAGTGCGCGAGAGTTGGCTCTAGCCGAGAAAGCCTTCACCAGAGCTGGAACTGTCGCTGGAAAATTGGCATTAGTGTTAGGTACTTCATTAGGAAGTCATGCACTTAGATACTTACTGGGCTCCGCGCACAAGAAGTAATCAAATATCGTAGCAGATGCCACAAAAACAGCCATCAAGGATAGGATTACTCTGTAGGCAAAAGGGTTACGGCTGTGCTAGTGATAAGACAGAATTAAACCTACATGGTGAAAATAGTCAGGCCATCCCAAGGCTGAACTTCACTCGTTTGGCAACTCGCCTCACTGATTCTCATATCTACACTGGAGCTGTTCAGGTTGATCAAGGCCATCAGCTGCTCCACAAAGGGCTCCATTTGCGTGGACGAGCAGGAAGCCGGAAAACAAGTTGCTATCCGCACACTGTTGGCCAGGAGGAAGCAGTACTTTCCTGCTATCCTCTGACCACCGGTCACTTGGTTGATGGAGAGACATTCATCAAAGTTACCAAGCTCGATTGAATTGCCGGTCAGAAGTCCGTTGGGCAGGGAACCCCATGAATCGATCACTAATAGATATCAGGAAAGAGCATGGGGATTGCAGGCTATTTGTACTTCGATTGACTCACTCCTTAATGCCCAAGTTTGTCTTGATGAGAGGCCATTCCCTAGTTCCGCCAATTCAGCCGAGCATGACATATCCTCCGCACTGGCCAACCTGGAGTCGGATACGCCCAGGCTCTCCAGAGTTGCGTTTTTAAAGTACTCAGCAAATGCCAATCCCAATGGCCGCAACTGGCTCATGTACTCATATGTTTTCCGCACATTAGTATCCGCAGGCTGCAAGGCACAGGTGGCTAGCAATCCGTAGAGCAATAAAATAATAACTACTGTAACCATTTTAATTGACTTCCGATTGAGAGCATTGGGGGAATTGACCGTGATTTTATATGGCACATCAGCAGCGATAAGCGCTATCTGCACTTATGACAAACGATTACTGGTTTAGGTTGGGAACCAAGTATTATTCATAAGAAAGTGTCAACTCTTGCGATTAATTGGCTTAAGAAGAATTTCACAATCATGTTTTGATAATCTACATATTTAGTTATTTTAACTTTAAATTTTTTTTAATAAAGATAATCTTATATTTTAAGAACGCCGTTTTGTAATTAAAACTGTTTGATTTATTGTTTAGTTCAATATACATTTTAGTTATGTATGTGCCCTAAACCCCATTGAATATTTATCAGTTCAGACTTATCTGTGCTTATCTATGTTCTGGTTCATCGCCATTATACTTGTGCGCCACAACAGCCGCTGGCGACTTTACAGTTCCAGTGGGACGCCAAAGTGAATGGTGCCCACCTATACGGTCCTCAATATTAAGATACAAGGCATAGGACATAATCAGACTGAAGAAAGGGTCAGACCAGAAGTAGAGTATCTGCAAGATACCGAATGTAACTAACAAAACTAAAGGTCCAAAGGTGCACTACATACCACATTCCCCATATTCCGGCTGCTTAGCTCCTGGAGGAACAGGTGAAGACGGAACAGGATACCCTTGGTACCCTAGTACAGAGATTCCTGACAGACATTCCTCCACAGTGGGATCGAGGTGAAGATCACGGCCAGGCTGACCACACGACCAGTGGACCCATCTGGATCTTTCGGCCACGACTCAGGCGCAGAAGTATCCGAGCCGGAATCCAATTAGCCAAGGAGCCCATCCTTTGCCATGGAATCCAATCTGAAAAGGGGTTCGGCATTAGTTTTACATGGATCAAGATGGCCATGGCCAGACCGGAATAATGCGATGCACACAGACCAGGGCGACATTTAGGTTTCCATTGGTACTGAAGCCAATCTACTCATTCAATTACCCATTAATATAATTAAAGATTTACGATTTCCAGGATACCAGCCGCTGATGAAGAGAAACGTATCCACTGAGGAATAGCCATGTACGAAAAAGCTTGAAGCAAATGTATTTAAATGTTTAATTGAAAGTGTGTTGTCCTTGCAAATACCGCAGCACATAGTTACCGCAGCAGCATAGGTAAACTTGATGTTTGGGGATATCAGGGAATACATATGTGATGTGCGGAAATACCACCCAGATTAGGCAGATGCACCCAATTCCATGAATTACAGCCATTACATTCGGATTGGAACTGCCATCCTCCAGACGAACTCGCCCTAGGCGATTAATCTTGATCAAGGCTGCGGATCCCTAGATTTATTCTGAGGCACCAGTTTCCCAGATCGTAGAAGGTGCCGTTCAATAGACCCGATGGAATTGAATCCCAGGAATCGAAGTGAACCGCAAATAAAGAAAATGTTTGCTTGCTTTTGTCGCGGTCGCAAATGCGTTTATGCCACTTTTCTCATGGCGTAATCTCTCGATAAGCGTTATCAACGGGTATCTCAATACGTGTCGATTAGTGGAAAACCCTGACCACACTCATGGCAACCTCCCTCGTAGTGCGCCATCGATTTTTTGCAGATAGCCATTTCAAAGACGTTAGAATAAGAAGGCGGAAATTGACGGGATCTCTGGCGGGATATCTGGCGGGGTATCTGGCGGGACATGGCGGAACGTGGCAGTTCATGGCGGGATCAGGCACCTCTGGATCTCCGCATAGTGCCAAACCGATGTATGGCCGTTACGCATCTGGTTATTCTAATGTCTTTGACCATACCTAATTTTCTGTAGGAGGTAATGTTATGGGGTGCCCCAAAAAGGCTTGCAACTCTCAATTATATTGTGCCCCAATAATATTATTATTTTGCCTAGCTCTTAAAACACCACAGCAAACATCGTTTGACATCCTTAAGCTTTAAAGGGAAATTTCCCTCCCCTTTAACCAAGTGTCTCACATTCTCCGCCCATTCGAGCCTTCCCTTATTTTTCGTTCGCGGCTTGAGCCCGACGTAAACCTATTAAATATTTTTTCCCAATAATTTTCAAAGCATTAGCTCATCATCAATTTGCTGCTTTGTGAAATTGGCAGCAATCACGTTATGCTCACCCAGCCACGCCCCCGACAAACACACACTCACACATCTAAGCGGGGAAGGCGGAAAAATAGGGAAAGCAAATACACACACTGTGCATACACACACACACACACCGCACCTATACTTAAGCACATTTGCTTAATTTTCGAAATGAGTTCGCATGACTTACAACCACACACCACCCCGCCCGCATCTATCATCCAGTATCCTTTATGGCCGACTCTTCTTTCGCCTTTGACGATGGCTCTGAGTCATTCGTTTGCTTTCTCGTTGATTAAATACGGAAATTGTTTGACATTAGTTAGGCGCATGCAATTAATTAAATTAGAGCGCCGAAAATCCATTGAACCAGTGGCACATTCGATGAAAGCAGTTCAAAGTATGTGCGAGCACATCAAAAACATATTGCAAACATGGCGTCGTTGTACATAAATTGTTTTTAAATTGCGATCCAGCAATTAAGTATTTCAAAAGCATGTTCTATTTGTCGCAACTCATTGTTGAAACACCTAAGAATATGCCTCTCCTTGTAGATCTATGTGAAGGATTTGCAGGCGGCTATTCAAATTGAATAATCATGTGCTTCTTTGGGCTGGACTGCATGCAAATTTCAATTTAGCTGGGACACCGAGCAATCCCAGCCAGCTCCTTGGACTGTCGGGCTTACGAGTTTATTCCATGACAGATTGTCATTTCAGGCGGCGAAAAGTGTAACACGCCAATCCCCGCCTGGCATAATGAGGGAATGGCGTTTTTCCATCATTGTTAATGTATTTTATTGGGCCAAGGAGCTGCGCTATTCATCATGTATCCGCGCATATGAAACCCATTTGCCCCAGCCCAGCCGATCCTGGCAGACGCGGCACGTGCCATAAAGCGGCATGGCCAATAAAGTCGGTGCCGTTTGGGGCGATAATAAACATGGTAATGCCCATTAAGAGGCGAGTTTGAATTGAAAATCCCCAGAAATTAATGCCGGCGCCAACGTAACGTGGCTTTAGTTAATTGAACATGTCGACCGTGTAAATGCATAATTAAATTACTTCAACTTTAACTAAATCGCACACACGGCTGCTCGGCTGCCCAGAAAGGTGCGCTTAAATACTTCATTAGAAGCAATTCATTTGTTTAAACGGCGGCGAAAGTGTGTGTGCCACCTAATTGAATGCACTACATGCTGCACATCTGTCTACCGGTCCATGTAATTACGTTAATTGGGCTCAAATGCTATTAAATGTTTACAAAACAGAAAGACCATGCAATTATGTCAAGAGCTCATTTTAAAAATGGCTTAAATAGTATGCAAAATGCATAAACAAAGTTTGGCGTTGGCAAAAAGCCGAAAGCCGAAAGAAAGGGGATAGATTTTAGCTGGGGCATACAATTATTAATTCATTGTAGAAATATAATTGCATTAAAGACTGTGATTTTGGTAATGCAAGCATTTGCAAATAAAGTATTTGTTATCTATGGCATGTCATGTCATTTTTTGTATTTGCCTGATTTACATTTGGCTTTTTAATACACTTTAATTGTATTACTATTTTCCGGCTAATGCTCAGAATATTGTATAATTACTTTATCCTTGCAAGCTTATGCTGCTTTAAACGATCACGACTGCGTAATTTGTCATTAAAGCATGTACATATATAATAAAAGGAGATAAAATAAATGACACAGTTAAAAAATAATTTTTTTTTTTTTTTTTTTTTTTTCTTTAAGTTTTATTGAGGCGTACGGGGAAGTCTGGGAACCCCTTTATGTCCATTTCCTCTATTGATTCAGCCCATTTGGGCGCGCCGGCTAACTATAGTCTGGTTAGCTTTATCAGTTAAAAAAATTCTAACGATAACAAAACAATCACAGATAACAATAATTGATGCTGCTTTAAACGATCATGACTGCGTAATTTGTTATGAAAGCATGTGTATAATAAAAGGAGAAGATAAAATAAAAGTCCCAGCGTAAAAAAAAAAATTCTGTCAGAAGTGGGATTCGAACCCACGCCCTCAGAGAGGACCAGAACGCTCGCACGCCCTTCTGCGAAGGGCAAGACTGAATGCCTTGAGTCTGGCGCCTTAGACCGCTCGGCCATCCTGACGAGTTGCGGGCGAGGGCGCAAAAACCCGCTTATAAGCTGCGCGCTTAAATTGTGGAAATGCGGGGGGGTTAACTTCTAGTGCTGCGATGATGATGATGATGGAGCGATGGGCTAAAAAGCAACCCGCAAACACACATTTTCACACCCAACGTCGCATGTCTAGGAGCTATTTATAGACTGTGTGCCCCAGCTCCGCCTCACTCGCACACCGTGTTGCCATCCCACTCCCACCAAAGCATACGTGTGCTTTTGGGGCAGCGAGAGTGAAAAGTGGCGCCTTAATGGGGGCATTGCATACTTTCGGGCAGCAAGCGAGCTCGTTTTTGTTGTTCCGGTGGTGCAGTTTGGCAAAGTCGATCGAAAATCAAGCTTCCATAATTACTTGCCCATTTGGGCAGATGACTTTTCGTTACACATTAATCCCGCCCAGAATCTGCGGAGGCTCAAAGGCTCGAAGGCTCGAAGGCAGACAAAAGACCAACTTTGGCCAGTCAATTCGATTTCAATTTATCAAATGCTTCAGCAATTTCTCTAATTGAATTTCATTTCATTTGGCATAGCATAATTTATAAAATATAACATCTCAATGCCGTGCCCCAGCGCTCTCTCTAATCCATTGTAAGGGCACGAGCACACAGGGTCCTTGGATGCCGGGGATCCAATCATTTTGAGCGCATTCCGGCTTCGCCGGCGATAAGTTTGCTTATAAATCACAACTGTCCGATGGCTGGGAGGCTGGAGCAGTGGGGCACTGGGACACTGGGGCACTGCAGGCTTTTAAATCGATGAGCACAGCGCTGGATTGACAATAATATTTTAAAAATAATTTTATTATTTCATTCAGCCGGCCACCCATGCAGACACACAAGGGAAACTTCTGGGTAGCTGGAGCAGGAGTTGGGCGGAGCAGCAGCCAATTGCTCCAATGGATGTCCATCAGCTTGGACGGAGCGCTGCCCGGTCATGCGTGAATGTAAACGCAGCTCGGAGCCACTCAAGGGGCAATAATGGAAATTTGAGATCTTCTTTTGCTGCCTCTATATCTTTAATTAAACGACAAAATGCAAAGTCTAATTGTGTTTGTCTTTCCAGTAACATTCAAAAGAATTACAAAAGTCTACGTCCTGGGCCATTGCTGGTCGTACTGCCCGATGACGTGCTTCAGCTTCCGGATGGCCAGGTCCACTTGCTCATCGTCCACCTGATGGTAGAGCACCAGCCTCGCAAACGCCCAGTCCCGGGCACTGGCCTTCACCACGATGCCGGCTCCATTTTTGTCCCTCACTCCGGCCTCCACTTCTCCGGCTTCCACGGTGCTCAACCTGGTGGAGAAGTCGCTGGCCGTCAGCTTGGGCTGGGTTATCTCCACCAGGAGGATATTGCTCTGGACAGTCTCCAGGTCCACGGCAACGTTGGGACTTTTCAGTTCGTAAATAGCTGTGAAGGAAGTGCATATTTATAGGTGTGCAATTATCTTGGATGCGATGACACTAACCGTGGGCGATTTTCTTGGTCCGCTCGTGATCTTTGCTCAGCAGTGGAACCACCTCATCCAGGGCTACAAGTCCGGCTGCTGCTAGCACTCCCACCTGCCGCATTCCGCCTCCCAAAGCTTTGCGCAGTCGATGTGCTCTGGGCGTGGAAAATTAAATGTTACTAGTAGGCTAATAGTAAGGGCTCCAAGTATTAATAGTGTAATGTTTAAAATTCCATTAAATTTAAATAAAGTGCAAGTAATTTCATAACTAAGCTGCAGTTACCAAGAACTAAAAATGGACAGGAGCGAAGCAGCAATTTCCGTAATTATATTGAAGTATCGGAGTCACCGGATCAACGGATCCCGGATCCGGAAAAGCAACTATGAGCCGGCAAGCAGCGTATTAGACACTCATGCCGTGGGCGGGGTCAAACTCACTGCGAAATGAAGGCCTTGGAGCCGACTAGCACGGATCCCACGGGAGCCGATAAGCCCTTGCTGAGGCAGATGGATACCGAGTCGAAGTCGCGGCAGATGCGCTCCACGCCCACGCCCAAGGCGGTGGCCGCATTGAAGACCCTGGCCCCGTCCATGTGGAGGGCGATGCGGGCGCTTCCAGTGCCCACGCCCGGCTGACGGACCAGAGCAGCTAGCTCGTCCAGGAAGGCCAGAGGCACCACTTTGCCGCCGCAGATATTGTGGGTTTGCTCCACCACCACCAGCGAGGTGATGGGCTCGTGGCAGTCATCGTGGCGAATCCTGCGACGCAGCTCCTGCAGACTAAATGTGCCATCCTGCTCGTTCTTCAGAGTGGCTAATTGGACTCCGGCCAAATGCGAGGCGCCACCTAAACGTGATTAATGAAGACGCACTGGAGTCGTTGAGTCCTGCCGGAGTGTTTGCTGTTCTCACCTTGCTCGTACAGAAAGATGTGCGATAAATCGCCGACCAGGGCCTCTGTGCCACGACGATGGCAGTGAACCATAACTGGGGGATTATCAAGGGAAGCATTGCAGTATTCACTTGGCTCGGCAGTTCGCTTCGGTGTAACTCTGAACCCATCTTTAAGTCAGTCTTACTAATTGTAACCGATCTGAATAGCACTTTGTACATCACCTATCGTTTCCCGAGCCATTTATTTGCCTAGCTCCCATGTGGATTTAACACCCAGTAAATTAATAGATTTTTGATTAGCTTTAAAGTGTACTTAAGCTGCCCAAGATAAGAGCATATTACTATCAGTGCAGAGTGCTAGGGGTAAGCACTATAACTTTATTATGATTAGCTAATGAACGTAACAAACTGCATATGCTTTCACTTATTTCGGAGTTCATAAAAGAAAAACATTAGCTAAAACCAGGAAGTACTCTTATAAATTGCACCTTTTATGGCCGCATACCCATGAGCAGCCCTCCTGAAAAATTAGCACAATCACAAGTCTGAGTGCAGCAGTTTTCTTTTGAGTGAAATGCAAACTTCGAATTCCATTAGAAATATTAATTTGAGCGAATGCATAAATTACTTCAGATTGCGATGCCCCAAGCGGTAACTCCTTGCGAATGCGTCCTTTATCCTTCAGTCCGCTTCCTTTTTTCCGCTCCCTATGCTCGTGCCCACGTCCACGTCCACGTCTAATATTAAAGTCTATAAAAATTAATGTTATGTTTATGGCTGCCCTTAGCCTTTACGATAATGTACCTGATGCATGATATGAGCGCTGCTTTCTTGTTTCCCCTCCAACCAGCCACCTTTTGTGTAATCTGAGACCGGCCTCGGTTTAAACTAATAAACATAAGCGATTCCCCACTACGGAAGCCCACTAGCAGGGACCGAAAATGAGCCGGGCTTATTTACGACTCCAGCCCGGGCAGTTGCCACTCACTTGCCAGTAGATTTCCCATGGTGCCGCTGGGCACAAAGAGGCCCGCCTCCTTGCCGAAAATGGCCGCTGTCCGCGCCTCCAGTTCGTTGACGGTGGGATCCTCGCCGTAAACGTCGTCCCCGACCACGGCGGTGGCCATCCGGGCCCGCATCTTGTCCGTGGGCTGGCTGACGGTGTCCGAGCGCAGGTCAACCGTGGAGTGGAGGGAGGTCATTTTCTGCAAGTTGATTAGCTCGGATATTTGCATAAGGTGGGCTATGTTGATTTTCCTCTTTATGGCCAGCAAATCCCCCACGGAATCGCGCGCTCATTTGCATTGAGACACGTCAGTTGCACCGCCTTAAATAATTGATGCGGCCAATGGGGCGATAGGCGGCACCCAGTACCAAATTTAAACAATCACTTCTCGAAAGGAATTGGAATGTGGTGCGTTGCGCGATTGCATAATCATTCTTTTATTTTTAACACTTGATCTCCCAGCGAACGCGTATGTTCAATTCAACTTTTATACACTTAATTCAATTTGTCAAAAAAAAAAAAAACAAAAAAGTAAACAACAAATCATCAGAGAACTCACTTGGAAACTTAATTGATAAAACTGCGAAAAAACAAAAATCACACAACGTGCTCGGATCAGAACCAGCGGAGAACTGACCCCAACAGCTGCTAAATGGCCTTCTTTATATAGCGAGTTCCAGCAGAGAGCCCTGCAAGTTCTGTTCCCGATTGAGCGGCGATCGAGTAAATTAGAGGAAGAGAGAGCATAAGTACTTGCGCCATGCTCTTTAAGCCCTGCCCACACAACGTTTCTTCCAAGATTCTGGAACGGAACACATTAACACACACAACATTTCTTTGGTATTTTTTATTAATTACATCAGAAATTTTCACTAAAATTTTACTATGTCTAACACAATTTTGTTGTTGTCTCTTCATAGTTTCACACTCTATTCACCTGTCTCTTTTCTCTTTTCTCTTTTCTTGGCCAATCGATGCTCTCTAGCTCAACCACTCAAGGTACAATTGAAAAACGTTACAATAATAAAAACAAATTTAACTTAGCTATGTACTCAATAATAGTATTAATTAGATTGTTAACAGCAGTAGTGGTTACTCATTTGTTTTGCTTCCGACATGATGAAGTACATGATTCTCGCTGGAACTGATTGGACTAACTAATAAGACGATCCTTGAATCGGATAAAGCTACGCCTGATATCGATCATAATGTTAGGTCAACTTACGAACTAAACTTGCAACAACTTTTCTTGAGAATGGGCGTGGGAGTTGGGGCAGCTTTGCATACGTGAAAAGTGTATGCACACACACATATGTAAAAGTCATAAAATGTATGAAAAAATTATAAATAAATATTTAGAAAATAGTTTCAATTTTTTTTTGTTTTTGTAGTTATCCTTTCAGTTTTAGTTCTTGTTGTTTATGTTTTATAGTCTTTTAAACAAGTTTCCTTCTGGCGCACGCTGGCAAAATGTCAAGATTTGCCCTATATTAGTTTTTACTTTTCCGTTCAAGTTGTTTCGTTTACTTTTGGCACCCACTGTAAGCGTACGATAGTGCTCGGTTTGATTTGGGTGTGCGATTGGGTGGGAGGTACTCGAATTTCATAGCCAATCATAGCATTTTCCAGCTGCCCATTAGAGTGAATTCATTTCCGCCCTCGGCTCTTGGCCTCCTTATCCTTTTTCTTTTTCCTTTCATTTTCTAATTCTTGTTTCCCTTTTGTTTTTGGTATGTGCAGACAGAGCGACAGGGTTCCCTTCACTTAGGACGTTGATCTTTTTCAAAGACCAAGATTGCCACCAACATTAACGCTAATTGTTTTTGTTTCAGTTTCAGTTTCAACACACAGGACCAGGACACGCGACTAACAGCTAGGGGATTTAAACTAATGCTCTAGGATGATTTGGGGGCCCACTCCGGTCGCCTCCTCATCGCTACGAGGAGACGTCCGCCTCGGATCCGTCCACGTCGCCCGGCGGATTGCGCTTTATGCAGTCGCGTATGCTTTGCAGGATGATGCCGGTCCGCCGGTCCAGGGCATCCAGGTGCGGCTGCCAGAGCACCGGACTGACGGGATCCTGGCTCAGGGACTCGCTCATCAGCTGGGACAGCGGCTTGGGACCATTGTGGAACCTAGCAGATAAATAAAATAACTCATTTGAATAATAAGCTTAGCATCTTCCACACGCATAACACTTCATTTCTGTACTTCCACGTTATTAAATAATTGATTGAAAGGGAATTAAAGTTAAATGTTTCGGCATTCAATGGCCAAATTTAATTAAGGCAAATCAAGCGCAAAAGCTAATTGGTGTTTAGATAAATGCATTACAATGCGAGTATATTACATTAGGAGCCGCACGCACTCAAATTGAATTTCACATGAAAGACACGGCGATAAGCCGCTTAAAGCATGATTCAACTGCAAAATGTGTCAATTGAATGTTATGGAGTTGTATTTTGCATATTGAGTGGTGCAACCATATGCAGCAAGCTACTATATACTCCTATATACTCACTCCAGCAGCTTCACGAGCGTCGACTTGCGTATCAGGCAGCACTGCAGCACGGGCGCCAGGATGGAGAGCTCGTCGTGGAAGGGCCGCCCGAAACCACGGCCGTGGTCCAAATGCAGGGGGAAGGTCTCGTTGCCGTAGACCCTGGAATGCAAACGAAAGCCGGGTCAAATTAGAGTGAATTCGGCAATCAGCCCGGGCAGGTGCCCCATCCAGCCGATTGGCGGAGGGCATAATTGCCCAGGCACAAGTGGGTGGCTGGCTGGCAGAGTGGCAGAGTGGCATGGAAAGTCAGGACGAGCCGGGACTATTTCGCCAGGTGTTAGCTGTGTGCCAGCGATGACAGCGCCGTAAGCCCAACAAACGCTTTTGCATAACAAACAATTTAGCAGCAGCAGCACAGCCAAGTCACCTGGCACCTGGTCTCCAAGGACCCAGCATCGATGATGTGGGGGCGTTGGAGTGGCGGCTTACAACCTGAAGACGCTTTGCAACCTTTTGCAGGCGGCATGAAAATATCTTTCCAGCTGCTGCATCTGCATCTGTGGCCACGGCATCAGCATCGGCATCAGCATCAGCAGCAGCACCAGCATTGGCGGCTGCTTGGCATGCAGGTGCTGGCATATCCCTGGCAAATGCAGGCGCTTAGGCGCACACGGGGCGCATACGTAACGTGCCAAAGGCAGACCGAGGATGCGAAGGCAGGAAGCCAACAAAGCCATGTGTGCGGAAATAAACCGATCGCATTAGTTACCATGCCAAGGACATGGATACACACGGCACCCAGACAGCGCACACACAGACACAGACCTATCCCCACATCCCCACATCCGGCTTAAGCCCACACAGCCCATTGCCTATTGGCCAATGCCGCTCGCCAATACCTTAATACTACTCACTTGAATGTCTCGTAATGATGACGATCCATGTTGCCAGTGAGGAAATCAAAGACGGCCATGTCCATGAGGTCGTACAGTCGCCTGCCCTCGTCGTAGGGCGGAATATCCCGGACCTAGGAGTGGGCCACGTGCACAGGAGCGGGAAAGGGGGAAATCAAATGCAAAATTAAGCTGCAGCTTGGCCAGCGATGTCTTAATTAAGTCAGCTACAGTCAGGAGCGCCGCCGCCCGCTACGACCGCAATAAAAACATTTGCATTTCAATCGAGTTTAAATGCAAATTAAATAAAAGAAACCGCACTTGGGGCGTGGGTGTATACATACCAGGGCACAATAATTGGCATCTGTCTCCCATTGGGCCTTCTTCCTTTTGTGGTAGGAGCGTCGCCAGGGATGCCGCCACAGCTGTTGGGTAGAAAGCAAAGGACGACCGGAAATCAATTCGCATTCTTGCAGGCCGACAGTAAACCGCTTACGCAATCTCCCCAGTAAAGTCTGTCTATCTCGGAGTTATATCTAGATATATGGGATAAATAGTTCTCTAAATCCTAAAAGCAGCAACTTTAAGTTCGGAGTTGTCCTTTACAGAAAAAATACTTTCGGGAAATTCAGTGACCCTCAAAATTGCATAGCAAGTTTTTCAGCCATCATTTTGCTTGATTTTTCATTCGCGCAACAAAACTTGCAGTTTTTCCCCGAGTGTACGAATATTAATTTTGTTTATGACTGCTTTGCCAGATTTTCTTGCGAATTCTTCCAACTGCGGGCCAAATTAACTTTTGCTTAAATTAAATTGCTGGCCAATAGAACCTTAGACTCGACCCGTGCGTTTCCTGTGAGCCACCGCAACTTACCTTGCGACCCTGTGTTGCGGGGGTCAGGGGTCAACAATAGCGACAACAAGAACGACAACAACAGCACAGAAACAGGAACAAGAAACAGGATCGGGAACAGGAGCGGCAGAAACAGGATGCGGGAGCGGCAACACAACAAATTATATATGAAATATATATAAAAGAATTAAAAATGTGAAGGGGAGCAGAGCGCACAAAAATGCATAATAAAAGCGCGGCGCGTTGGGCGTTTAATGCTGAGTGGGCGTGGCAACGGCGCAGGCGGAGTGTGTAATGACCGGAAGCGGGGACCAAAACAGGGACCCCCCCCCCCCCCCCCTCTTTGGGTTGGGGTTTTCCCCGCCCCTTTTTTGTGGGGCGTCAACGGTCCGAGGAATGCAGCAGGCGGCGCACAGCAAAGCAAGGCAAACAGAAAGCGGAAAATGCAAACTTGGGGAAAAGCAACAAACTACTGCGATGAAAAAATGGTGAAAAAAGCAAACATAAAGCAGAAAACCCAGGTAAGTTAACGCTGCCATGGTGACAGCGGAGCGGGGGGATTCTCATAGCGCTCTTTAGCTCCACTGTTCACCTTAGCTTAGCCAAAAAGTAAAAAAATATGCATAAATCAAGCAAAATTTAATTTTATAAGAGCAGCGGGAAATGGGAAACGCGCAGCAAAAAAAGAAAACATAGAATGTGAGGCAAGCAATTTGCAATTTTTGTTAGCTTCGCGTTAAATGCACTTGATAAGTTTGCGAACCCCGTGGAAAAGCTTTAAGATGCAATGTTTTTTATGGAAATGACGCCCCAAAGTCAGCGGAAACAGTCCCATTTTATTAGCCGACTAATTAAAGCATTCAATTAAAAATGTAACTAAATACTTTAGCCATTCGGTTTTGTTATAATTTGAAATGAATGCATGGTGCAACTCCCATGTTAAATACGATAAAATTAGCACGAAGTATAAATGTCTCAAATAACTTAGTTCGATGATATTGAAGCACCTGTAGTTAGGCCAATTTCCGTGATTAAAGTCAGCTCCTCTTCAATTAAATGGAATTTATAAATGCTTGAGCTCCACTTTATCCCAGCTCTGATCTAATCAATTGTTTAGTTATCACGATTATTTTCCCTTTTCTTTCGGTCCTTGCAATTTAGTTACCCGTAGATCCCTCTTAACTGAATTCCCAAAGCATTTAACAAGCGTGCAAATCAAATTTGCAACTTAATTAAAATTCTGTTCAGTTACAAAAATTTCCTCGTTGTTCGCAACGCAGGGGAAACAAAACTTGGCCGGGCCGGAAAAGGAAAGTAGGAAAAACCTGCACAGCACAAAGGGTGGGGGGCGGGGGTGTTCCGGAAAAATCGGACAAGGAATAGGGCTGTGCAAGAGGAGAAAGAAAAATGATCTCTTGTGCATAATTTACAGTTTTGCCTTACGCCAAATCTCAAGTATACACTTAACCATTTTCTACTTGTAAACTGTTTGGAGAGCTAGCCGCAAAAAAATAGAAAGGGGGAAAATAAAGAGAATTATTCCTTTGAGGCTTCGGGGCAGGATACTAAAAAAATATATATATGTATATATAGCTCTGCTCAAAATAGACTAAAAATAAAATGCCTCCGCTGCGGAAATCTGAGGGATGAGTCCAGCTGAACCCTTTTTATGGCCACAGCTCGCCAAACCGAGACATTCCCGAGGTCCTGAAGTGGACAGGACAGGGCTTTAATTTTTCGGTAATTTGCATTTAAAAGCTGTTGCCGTTTTCCCTTTTTGGTTTTCTTTTTTTTTGCCGCTCGTATTTTTTTGTCCGTTGATGGAGTGGACTCTAGAATTTATTAACGCCAACGACTGAGTCCTGGGTCCCTGCATTTTATATTCCATTTTCCGCTTTACCAGTCGCTGAAGAACTGATACAATATTTCTGCTCTTAATTCAACGGCCAAACGAATGAATGAAATGGGAATGGGAATGGGAATGGCAATGAAGTGGCTCACTGGGGAGGGTGAAAGGTAAACGAGTGGGGCATCCGCACAAACAAAGGATAAAGGCATGCGAACAACAAAAATTATGCAAATTAAAAGTGAGTTCTTTCGCTTTTTGGCCCAGTCAGCCAGCCAACCAGCCAGCTATTAAAAATTCCCTCTAAGCCTTAAGTGAGTTGTTCTGTTCATGGCTCGGATATCTCTTAGAACTGACCACCACCTAGCTCATCGTCCGTAGTCCATAGGCCATAGCTCACCTGTTGCAAGCCACATGGACGCCCAAAAAAACGAACTTACGAACTAAGTAAATAAAGTGATTTGTTATTTGGCCCGGTCGCCCAGGCGCACGAATGTGGTAATGAAAGCGGGCAGAGCATAAATTGTAATCTGGAGCAGTGTTAGAGCTGGCCGTGCATTAATCAAAAACCACTTAGCCAGGCCCACAGACATGATGCCCATACCATGTCATCCCATCCCATCCCATTCCATTCCATCCCAACCCACTGGCATGCGTGCTGGATGGAGGATGCTGGAAGCTGGAAGCTGGATGAGGTGGCTGTGCAATGTGGACGCGGTGGGTCCGCGTGTCTAGGATGCGATACATACCTTGCGATTGCCCGACTCGAAGTTGGGCAGAAAGGCGGCGAAGGAGCCCTCCAACATGTCCGGATTGCCGCAAATGGCATGCGAGGTGTCACAGTAGTACGAGCACTTGCCATGGAAGCATAAATTCAGCGATGGCGAAACAAAGAACGTCTTCAATAAATTCTCCTCGGCCAGTTGATAAATTTCGGTCGTAATGTTCAGTGTACGGCCGGCCACGGGCATGGCACGCCGGAATCCCAGGATCCTGAAACCGGAGAGGAGTGCAGAAAAGCGGTTAACAAATGCCAAAAAATACGCAGTCGAGGTTGACGAATCGAAGATATCCTGTTAAGAATTTACTTTTAAATATGTATCCTCAAAAATTGACTGGCCCAAAATAAAGCAGAAATTTTAAATATGTCAACTTTAGGATGACAATGCCTTTGCTGAATTACGTTGCGTGTGCCATATACCCCATGTGTTCTATGAGTACCCTGTATCAGCCGAAAGGTCCTGCGAGAAATAAGAGCTCGCTGGGTAAAGTTTTTCTTAATGGTTTGTGGGGCGAAGGAAAAGACTGCGTGTGAACCGGAATGCGTAATCAAGAACATGGAAAATATTTGTGGCCTGTTGTCAGGGAAACGGTAGGCAGTAATACAATAAGGAAAATAATTTCTTGTTTATTTAAGGAAACCAAGCCCCACAACAATTGTGCTAATTTGGTGAAATCCGAGCCTCCTTAGCTTTATTTTCATCAATCAAATTACGCTGGTAGCAGCGCAAAAAATGTACCTCTTATCCCATCAATAAATGAAGATTTCATCAATCTTTTCGACCAGTCACGCTTAATCTGCTTCGAGCTGAAAGGGTTCGCAACGGATTTATGTGGACTGGCCAGAAGATATTATCGAAATTATTTGGCAACATGAGGCATGTTCCATTGTCTGGGCCATTGGCAGCCACTGAGGTCAAAATGGGAAAATGCCGTAAATTTCCATCAAGCACGAGTAGCCACTCCATCACACAGCGCACACCACACACACCCCACACACCACACACACAACACACACCACACACACATGTGACTCCATTAGAGGGCTGACAGCTCGAGTTGCCAGAAGTTGGGCGGTTGGGCGGTCCAATCCTCGGGAGTTTTGGCCAGCCAATCGACAGGAGAGTTTGAGCCAACTCGATTAGAGGATATGCGGCATGTGCGTGCGGCTGGCAGCCACAACAATTGCACAAGTTATGACGCCTTATCTAAATTCAAAAATCCCCCGGCAATTAACCTGGCCGTCAAAGTTTTGTCAAAGCCAAGCAGCTGCTAACTATGCAGACAATTTCAGTCTAAATTACGGCAGGACATGTCAGGCCACTTGGCCGAGTTAATTAGCCATGAAAGGGCGCAGATAGCCAGTTTGGCCACATCATTTACATGAATTTTGCTTTCGCTTGGCGCCACAGCTTTTTGCCCTTTGAAAAATATATTCTTAAACATCATTTAATGGCGCCGTTTGGCCTTGGCCAACCCGAACCGAACGGCTAAGTGTATGGACATATTTTTTATTTTATTTGGCCGGCCATCGTAAATAATGAACATAAATTGACTGCGGTCTGACCTCAGTATGCGTGTGTGTGTCAGGATTATTGGGATTCTAATCGCCGAGGGTCAGGCATCCAAAGCGTTATAAATTTGAATGCTGGCCAAGGGATCGGTTCACCGGCTCACATGGCAGACAAATTGGTTAATTTGATTGCTTTGTCATGCACTAAAAAAACGCATAACTTTCAAGGGCCATAAAGTTGAAATGAGGTAGCGAAAATAATTTGCGCACTGCCACCCGGAGTTTTACTATTATTGGCCAAGGGAATGACTACTATTTTCAGGAAATACCTAGAGTAGGATACCCTAATAAAATGCAAACATTTGCTCCATTAAAAGGTTATGCTAGCATAGGTATATTATTCAAAAAAGCGGTTTTAAAATCAAAATGTTCACAATAATTTTAGTGAATGCTCCATTAACTAAGCCATCACACAAAAAGTTGGGCATCGTTTTGTAAAAGGATTATAAAGCGGATTTTTTCGCTGCACTCGGAACAATCCCTTTTTAGTCGCTTGAAATTAAATTCAGGTATTTTCAGCCAGTCTGCGGAGAATACAGTCTGGTTTGCCTAATTGAATATTTCAAATTGATTTTGCACAATATTTTCCCGATTTCCCCGCCTTTGTGCTGCGGTGGGCATCCGTCCAATGCTCACCATAAATATTTACGTATAATTGAAAATTAAATTAAAAATAAATAAGAGTATGCCAGACATTTACACGATGCCTGGGCAGATTTAATTCGATCGAACGAATGATTTCACAACGGCATTCTTGTGCACTCGAGTGCGCCCGGTGAAAGTTCAGAGTGGAATGGAATCGCAACTCACCTGTCCAGGTGGAAGGCGGCAATCTCGGCGTTGTGGCGCTCGTAGTCCGTGAAGTAGAAGTGGTTGGGCAGCGTTTGCTGCTCCCGCGGAAAGCTGTGGAAATGCAAATTGCAAATGAGCGGGATCAGAGGTGGGAATGCGGCATAATGAAATGAATAGAAACTGCGGGCTTCTGTCACCAGCTTAATGCACTTTGAATTTTCCCACAGTGTACCTGCATTGCTACGTGCCATGTGCCAGCTTAATTACTTACACGAAAGGGAGTGCTATTAAAAAAAAGAACAAAAAACACAGAGAGGTTCCTATATATTTATTTAAAAAAAGAAGCGCAGAAGAAGGGCTTTCATTTAAATTGCAAATGAATGGCATTATAAGGACACTTTGCACTTTGGCAGCTGCAATGGAGGCAGCGATGGAGGCAGCGATGGAGGAATGGGAAACCAACGCGCTGACCAAGCCAACGCGTTTAAATCTCATTAAAAAGTGCATGAATGTTTTAAATTTGCGAGCAGCTTGAAGTGCCACCGCAAAACGACGGCAATGGACGCGGAATTTCCATCGACAGGCCGCAGGAAAGTCAGCGAATAAAAAGCGCAATTTTATTTACTCGACTGTGCGAAAAGTGTTGTCGACAAGTGGGCGAAAGTTGCATTCATTACGCACGCGAAAATCCGAGGGACAAATGCATTAAGCGGCGACAGACCGGGAAATCTTCGTCCATCCGTTGGCCAAACTTACCGCATCGGCTTCATTAAGGCCTTGATATCGTTTGGGTACTCGATGATCAATTTCAGCTGTGTGCCGCCCTCCTTTTGCACTGCGAACGGAGAAAAGACAGTGGAATGAATGTAAATTAATCAGGCACTCGTAATTAATTGAAGCAAAAACCAAAAATTCATGCAATTCTCACATCACCGATCACCGACTGACTGCAGTCGGCTTTTAAAATTGCAAACAAAATTGCAGGCCGGGGAGCACTGCATAAACAAATTACACTCGACTAAATAGCAATTAAAATGCATTCAAAGAGCACACAAATATTGCGTAAAACGCAACCGCACAAAGGAGCCTCAAATAAAACCCGCCTTGGCTTGCTTTTGCGATTCAGCTGTGTGAATTGAACCGAAAACTGGGCTCATTGTAGTTTGGACCTTGCAGTCCTTGTAGCTCTGACTGACCGAAACCAAAACTGCTGCCCCACACACACCGCATTTCATTGGAATTTATTCTAAGCAAGCAAATGAAAATTGGCCCTATATTACCTATGAATTATCTCTCAAAAGTTGCTCCAAAGCCCAAGTGTGGCGTGTTTGTGTGTGTTAGAAAGCGGCAGCGTACACGCGGCGTATACGTGATAAATGCCTGGCAGAACAAAGCCAAAGTTGCAGCAATTATGCTGCCACAGTGTCATTGTTGCGCCCTGCCCCCCACCACCCCCTGGCTAACCCTTGGCTTTCCCTTAACTGCAAATGAGTTTTCTTTTCGCAGCTCCAAGCAGCCGCTGTTAAAAGTTTATTATTAATAAATTATGAGTTTAATGAATGCGCTGGAAAAACTTTGCTATGAAAATAGTTTCGCAGTGGCACCTCAATAAAGCCAGCCGCCAAGCTCTACATAATTGAGTTAAATGTGCAGCTGAGTCTCTTTTAGCCCGCTTCCCCCTCTTTTGGCCTCGTGTAAACACCCGGTGCAACAAACTTGGCTAGTATTTATGACTTTACAATCCCACAATTGCCGAACGGCAGAATGGAGCGGAAGCAGACTGTCTTACCAACATGCTGTATTGGCAGCTTGATCATGTCACGTAGCACCGCATCCACCAGAGTGTCCTGCTCGCCGTAGAGCTCCTTCTTCGTGATGCGCAATTGGAAGTGCTCCAAATTGCTGGCATTTGCACTGCAAGGAGAGATGGGAAAGTTGTTCGGGTTCAGATATGGTGCGGGCAAAAGGGAAACAAAATGGCAGAAATGTAAGTAAGAATCGAGCTGGCTGTCGTTTGCAGGCAAGAGGAGCCATATGGACAATCAAGCTGCAGCCCTACACTCAAAGTAAATTAGTGCCTTATAGTAAAAGTGAACTGAAATGAATAAATAAGGAAATAACCATAAAAACTCCTCTCTTCCTTATGTGTGAAAACATCAATTTATAGGCGCAGTAGTTAGCTGTGATATGAAGATACATATTTTGCTGATTTTTCGCACAGTGCAGCCAGTGCTCGGGGCTCCCTCATAAGTATGCTACGCTTTGGGGCTGCATATCAAGATTTCTCACATTGATTTGTCAAAGCAATGCCCTGCTCCTTTGGCTGCTTTGGCTCCTTTGGCTGCTTTTTCCTTTCTTTGCCGCTGCTGTCATGACAATTTGGTTTGCAAATGCCAAGACACCCCCACATCAGCCAGCCGTAATCTTTGGTGGTCGATTTTTCCTGTTGCCGCCAGACTGGCAATTGTTGGAAAATATCTTTTCCTCTCCGATTATGCTTTGCACTCCACGTCTGACATGTGCCGCTCACATGGCCAATGCCTTTGTCTTAAGCCCTGGCAGTTACGCTTTCAGATTTAGTCCAATTTGTGCCGGTTAAGCACTGCAGGCCCTGCTGCCAGAATTTAAGCTGCAAAGTGCGCTCCATTGGCATTAGCTCTCCCGTTTCCATTCACACTGCACAACAATTTATACCAGTAGTCGCAGTCAGCTACGACAAATTGAAATGCAAAACCCTGTACTCGCTTCGTTGGTCAGTGAAAAAGTGGCAAACGGGCTCCATTGTGCAGCAAGTTTATCACGATAATGAAGTCATATCCGTGCTCCTCCCCCGAGTGCTGCTCTCAATGGCGTCTACATAACTCATTGTCCTTCTGCATCTTCCACTTGCTCCTCCACCCACTCCCACTCCCAGGCCATTCATAATTTGCCCAGCGACTTCTGCTATACTTCAGCGCCCAGCCCTTTTTTGGTCTTTGTGCGCAGGAAGGAAACAAATGTCTGGCGGACAACCTTCTCGTGCCCCGAATGACTTTCAATATATCAGCGTTCCATGGAAATGGTGACAGCTTCCGAGGGCGGAACATCAACCCTTCACCTGGCGGCGCAAAAGTGCTCGGAATCCGGTGACAATGGCCAGGATGCGCAGGCCAGGACAGAAGTGACGAAGGTTCCATCAGGTTCAGGCTCAGGCTTAGGCAAACGGCATCCAGTCCGCAGGATTAAGGCCGAACCAAGGGGTTGAAATTGGAATATAATTGCTTTTAAGTACCGAATTGCCCTTGTCATCCCACTTAAAATGCTGAGTATTTAGTACTACATAAATTACATATCTTATATTTGCCTAAGGTTTTCGTAGCTCTTCATGTTTCCTATATAGCTATGTAGAACCGGGATTTGAGAACGATTCATTTGGCTGCATGCCCCAAAGTATGCTAAGCAACGTGTTAGCTTGGCACAGTCAAATTCGAGCTCATGCTCCATTTGTCAACTGCGGTGGAGCAGCTCGGCCCAATGGAATCCGGCAGAAGCTGCGTAATTGATGAAGCCGCCCGGTCCGGACACTGACTAAGCACTGGCCGCTGTCCGCAGATTGGCCGTATGTTTCTGCGAGTCTGCGGCTTGCTCCGCCTGGCCAGCTGTTGCACTTTCCGGGCCGAAACTGCACTGGAACAAAGGAGGAGCCAGCCAGCATCGAATTCAAATCCCATGGGTAATTGAGTCACGTAAATCAGTTGCAGTTGCGCGGCCGAAATCGCATTACAAGCGAAAGTGGCAAGGAAGGTGGCTCAAAAAGGGGGCGTGGCGCTGCCAGCGGCAGCGAAAAGCGCACGTGACACGTGGCCCACAAGCACATATCGCGGCAAACATGGTCTTACAAACGCTGACAACCGCAGTGACAGTCGGCCAGCAGCCCCCCAAAAAAACCGCCCACTGTCCTTCAGCCACCACACCCCCACCCTCCCCTAGTCCGCTGGTCTAAGCCCGCGAAAAACTTTGTTATGCAAAGCGTTGACAGCTCAACGACGATGACAACAACGTACCGCAGCGCAAAAACAGAAACGCTGCGAAATGCACGAGAAAAAAGGAGGAAAATAATTGAAAAAGAGATTTTCATATAATTGGTAGTACCCCGCCGCCCTCGACAGTTGCACGTTCCTGGCGGTTACTCGCGTCAAAAGTTTACTTTGAGTTATGTTTAGCGGAAATTAAATTTATTTATGTCGGCGATGGGACGACGGCCGTGGACGGGCTTCACTCTGAATGACGCTCACTAATCAGCTTAATTGCGCTCGGTTTGACGATTTGACAGGGCAGGCGGTATCCCGAATTCCCAAGTGCCAGAGTCCTGAATCCTGAACGCTGAATCCCGCTGACCAGGTCCATCGCTGCCATGGCAATGGCCAGGAGTAAACCTTGCTTACAAGCGAAACGTTAAAATAAACGTAAGCGTAAATAAGCCTGGATTTTGTTCAACGAAAACTATGTTACTGGTAACTGATAGTTATGAAGCTGGAAAAATGCAACTAAAAAACGGAATGATTCCCTGTTTTAAGGGCTACGATACCTGTTGGATGTGCCAGCTGCCCCTGGCCGTCAACTTATCGCTGCTCCGCCAGGAATTACTCATTAACCAAATATTAAATTGCATTTTCCGCGGCATTGGAGGTACATTTTCTAACCGGGATTATGACTGGTCGAATGACTGGTTTTCCACTGCCATTGTTGGTGGGCTGTTATCCTCGGTGTTATACCGCCGGTCGAAGTGGGTACTATAATAACAGCTGTCAGCCGGCATGTCCTGGCCTTTGCTTAAGCCCCCCAAACCCCCAAGTCCGCAATTATTTTGCCATAAGAAAATGTCAGAAAAGTTTCGCCAGCGCGCACAGCCCTCCAGTTTTCTACCCGATTTCCCCGACATAGCCGACATCCCAGTGCCACCAGCTTGGAGCAGCTGCGTCCTGGCCGCAGCCACATAGCCGCAAAAGTGCTGCTTAGATGGAGAGAGGAAAAGTTTGTGCGTGTGAAATTTTGCGGCCGCCAGGACCAACGGAGGAGCCATCGAAATGGACGGACCGGGGACTGCAGCACGGACACTTTTGAGCCCAGTTTGCAGTGAGCAGGAGGAGCTGGGCCGAAAGGAAAGTGAAATTAAACTTATATTGTAGCCGGGTATAAAACTTCAGCGGCGGCAAGAACGCGAACATTAAAACCAATGACAGCAGGCCAAACTGCAGCTGGGATCCGCGAAAAGCTGATGGGAGGGCGGCGTTGGGAAAACTTACACTTCCACTTCCACTTCCATTTCCACATCCACTTCCACTTTGCCATCCGAAATGTCAGCAAGCCCTCGGAGTTTTACACACTCGTCGACATTGAGCATAGTCTTTTATTAGCCAACGTTCGCAGAATTCCCAGGATTCGCAGGATTCTCGGGATTCGCCGGATTCGCCGGATTCGCATCCTGACCGACAGCTGGTAAAACTTCAGCTGTTTCTTCACTTTAGCCGGGTGTAATTCTCACGAAATAAGATTTCTGCCACCGCTCGGCAGCTCGCAATTGCAAGCTAATTAAAAATTTGTCATACTAATTAAAAGCGACCCCGGGACTTGGCTGATTCAGCGGCAACTTTGTCGTAATTATACACCCGGCTAATGCCGGACAGGCTTCTACCTGACTCCTCAGCTGCCGCTGGTAATAACTCATCTAGTAATTTTTAGGCGCATTTGCATTCTGTCACATTGCATTCTTTCTCACCCCACCTGCAGTCCTTTCTTGGCTGCATTGTTACCGGAGCTCTGGGCCAAAAACTGCTGACTAGGCCGCCAGCCAAAAAGGGACGAGATATGGCAGCACGTCGAGCATGTGGGGCGCTGTTTGGCGACGGAATTTTAATGAGATATCGCCGGGAAACGAGCGACAGGCGACAGCAGGATGGCAGGAATAGAAAGGAGATCCTGTTTCAGCCAACTCAGATCCTTCCATCCTTTTGGCTTGATTAGTTGTAGGCGGCTGAGTCGTAGGGATTAGCGTTTCACTGCAGGAAATTGCGCCACTTAAATGGTTTTCGAAATTGGTTTGAACGGCATTACGCTATCAGAACAGCAAACTCCGAGTAATTTTATAAAGCCCAAAACATAGGGAGTACCTAAAAACTAAGTACCTTTGCGTAGTAAGCAAGTAATAGAATCTCTTCCATGAAATTTGCACTTTGCTTGCAAGAGCATGCGAACTTCTTGGCCCAGCTAAGCCAGGTAAACCTAAACCCTCGGCCAACTTTTTTCTTACCCTGCACATTTACTGGCAGCAATTTCGCTTGTTAATGAAATTTGCATTTTGCTACGTGCGACACAGCAGGCAAAAAAAGTAGTAGCAAACTTTCCGGCTTGCTTTTCGGTGATGTGCTATAAATTAGAAAATCAAGCATTTTATGCTAATGCCGACGCCCACACTTGGCCAAGCCAGACAACAACCAACCACCCACACACACACACACACACACACACACACACACACAACGCTACTGCAACAACAACTTGACAAGTTTTTGCCACTTTGCATTTTAGCCATTTTCGATTTACTTCACTTTCTCCGCCGCTCCCGGAATTTTGTGCAACTTCAGCTGGGACACGACGTTGGCAACTATTGAAGCAAATGAAATTACTCATACGCTACGTATTCAATTTTGATAAAAACTAGCAAAACGATTCGACAGACGCATTGTAACATAAAAGCAAAGGAAAAGCGCTGAAAGGAAACGGGCGGAAGATGGAGAAACTAAGCTGATTACCGAAAAAGAAAATCAAATGAAAACTCGTCGAAATAAATTTCATTGCTGTCTCAAGTGTGCGGGTGGAAAACCGAGAAGAAAAGCGGGAGATGCCGCCCACGGTGACGCAGATAAGCGCTGGCTGGTTGGTAGTGCAAAATCCACATTAATTTCTTTATTGCACTTTTATTTGATTGTGCTCGCATGAAATTACGCATACGCCATGTTGAGACAAGTAAACGCTCATCAACGTTATCGGCGGTCGGCATCGGGGAGGAGCATTGGAACAGTTGCCCCACTTGCCCCACTTGCCCCACTTGCCACCGGCAACAACAATCAGGCAACACTTACCAGCGACAGATAGAGACATGCCCGTAAAGATGTGGGCACCGAGAACTTTCTGGGGGGCATACACTCAGCACAAAACATATATCTAAAGCTGGAAAATCAGCCCTAAATGGGGAAACCTACTGCAGTCTTCGTTGGAAAATGTTCTGCCCATAAAAATGTTAGTTCAAAGACAAGTGTATCTCATTTCCTTCGACATAGTTGTTTTCCTCAAGTGCACAGCCTAAATGTCTAAAACGTAAATGTGTCACGTAAATGGAGCGTAAATTTCAATAAAAATCATTTCAATTCCGTTGAATCCCGAAAACTGCCGTAACTGCTTGCCGCACTCCCCCACGCTCCTTTTACTATCCATGTTGCCGTCCTAGAACCGTAAAAGGCCCCCACCTTCACTATCAATTACCACGTAGCCGGATAAAGTGGCTCGGGGCCCAGGGTAAAAATAAAAAAATAAAAAAAAAATGTAAGCATTATGTCCTTCCGCTCAGGGGAAATTGAATTTTTTCGCTACTGGTTTTATGTGCCACTCACCTGGCCTTGCGGTGCAGCATCTCGGCCAGCGTGGGATTGTCCCTCCTCACATCCGGCGCATTGTCCACAATCACATGCGAGTACTCCTCGCTGAGCAGGTGCTTCTGCAGATCCACATAGCGATCATGCGGCGCGGGCTTCCTCGTGGATGTGCCCCGTGATGTGGCAGGTCCAGCTGCTCCGCCCGAGGCTCCGGCCGCCGCATCCTGACCACTGGTCGCACCGCCACTCTGGCTCGCTCCCGCCTGCGTGGACGCCTCCTTGGAGCCCGAGGAGTTGCTGGAATACAAGCAGCATGAAAGCGTGAGTGCCTCTGTTAAAAGGGAGCTGCATAAAAGTGAGTTAAATGCACAAGAAAAAACAAAGCAAAAAGATTGCCATAATTAGCGGAGACCCAAAAGCCGGCTGCTCTTGACAATGGTCTCCGGGTGGCTCTCGTTGCTAATTGCAACTGCCAAGTGCCCCACTGCCTTTTAGTGGCAGCCATCGAGCTACACTGAACTGAAGCAGCCTAGCCCCCTGGCCACGCACTTGCTGCAGGTAAGCTGGAAACTTTGTCAGCCAGGATTTTAGTTGCGTTTACCTAAGACGAACACTCCCACACCCACATCCACACCCACCAGCTTAGACACACATGGGACTCTTCACTCGACTGCAATAAACTGAAATTGCAGGCACTTCAAGGGGGCAAAGCCACAACCGGTACGAGTTGGAACAGTGGCGACACCTAGGAGACATGCCTCTAATATCAGGTAAATGCAGCAAACTTTGGCGAACATTATTTGCAAAAGTTTCTTAGACAATCGGAACGAAAAAGATGAAACAAATTTCTTCACAATTTATAAGTTTGCTTTCTGTATTAGACAAGTTTCATGTCAGTCCATCTATGTGACAGAAATTTGTGTTCATTTCGCTTCATATCCAACTCAAAGTTTGCGCACTTTTTTGCCAGCCTAACCCACTGTGCCTTGTGGTGGTAATCAGCAGCCGTTTAGACAGCGCCTGCTTCAGACAAAAAGAGTGCTTGAAAAATGAATTAAAGTTTTTGAATTTGTTGCATCCATTTTGCTAGCCTTGACTCTTAACAGCTCTCGGCGAAATGCTTGGGAGCCAACCCGGCCCGGCCGGATGCTCCGTTTCCGGCCCACTTTCCACCTCCACCTCGTTAGCATATGCACGTGTATGTATGCTCTGTGGGATGGATGTCCCCGGAAACCGAGAATTATGCACCAGTTGTGTGACCATTAAGCCAAATGACAGCACTCGTGTGCACAGGCTGAGCGGAGTGCACATCATTAGGCCAGCATCTCGAAAATGTCGTTTTCTGAAAATTCCTATATATCTGTATGTATATTTTTTTAATTGTATCCCAAAGTATCCCAAGTTTTTTGGGGCGAGAGTCCTCTGTCTGTCTGTCTGTCTGTCGACGCCTTGTCTTATCCGTCAAGCAGACAGGTGTGCTGCACACACACACATGTGTGTGTCGAGTGAGAATGCAAAACTTTTTCAATTAACAGTTGCCAGAGAATGTCTGGGCCGAGACAGCAGATAGGCCAACAGCCGAGAAGCTGTCAACATTTGCCATTTTCCCCAGGTCGGATGAGACAATATCTGGGCGACAAAGAGCCTTTCCACGGCTGGGGGGCTTATTAAGAATTTTCCGACGCAATGAGCCTGGGCGGATTTCGCGCGTTTCGCTCATTTTATTGGCAGCCGCATAATGCCACTTTATGTGCTAATAAGTATTTAAGTCTCCCTTGTGCAGCCACTTGCAGGAAGGGCCCTCATATTTATGCGGCTCGTTCGAAATTGTTTACGCCGTGAAAGGATATAGCCATACATATAGGGTAGTAGTGCTAACCCTCTTTGTTGCCGACTGCACTGATCGATGTGGCATGCACTTAATTACACTTTGGCGATAGCGAAACTTTGCTCATTAAAGTGGCACGTGGTGTGCGTAACGTTGGCCACATAAGCTGGCCATGTGCTGCGGTTAATTAACCAGTCAACTGCAACTGCAATGGCAATAGACGGCCCTGCAACAAAATGCAGCGACAACGCCGCCACAGGATCATAGGTGATAGGTAAAAGTTTATGCAAGTCGAAAGCTGTGACACTGTCAGGGGTTAATGGATGGCTTTAAGGGAGTCGTAATTGGATTTCGGTGTGGCATTTCTGGCTGCCATCCATGGCAAATGCAATCTAGTCAAGTTCAGGGGTGGCTATAGCTTGTTAACTTCAAATTGTTCTGAGTCCTAGTAATTATGTGACATCGAATCTTAAGATTACGCACTCGCGCAGGAAGATAGTACTAATCTAAATAAAATGTTATTGAAAAAGTATTAAAACAAGAGGATTAAAATCTCTGTCAGCTACAGCAATTTTAATTAAAAGGGTTAAGAAAAAGAGAACAAGGAAAATAAAATAAAGATTGATAACAGCCCAAAAAAAATGAGAATCATAACTGAAAATGAATTTTCCCTCTGTTCCGCGGACGGCGAACACCATTTGCAGCATTGCCAAGTTGCTGCCTCAGTTTTCAGTTTTTAATGAAATAATTAAAAAATTATAAGGCTGGCGGGCGAGGAGCAGACAAGACAGGAAATCAGGAAGCGGAGCAACTTCCATGGGGCGTTTTCGGGGCGTCTGAAGATGGAGACGGGCAAACATTTGATGCTTAAATAGAATTTATTACGCTTCACAGCCGCGTTGCACGACTCAGTGCATGGAGGCATCATAATTTTGCATTTGCCCCGGCGCATAAGTAGATAGCAGGGAGCTTGAAGCCCCGGCCGGGTTTCTGGCCGCCCTGATGCTCCCGATCTTCCTGGGTGGAGGTGTCCCTCAGACGGAGCGAATGGGAAGGAACGGTTTCCGAAGGCATTCATTTTACGGGCTGGTGGCAGGCGGCTTATGAATTAATTAAATATTTACTGGCTAAACATTGGCGTTTTATGTTGCCGTAGCCGGAGCTTGAAAGCTGGAACGAAACCGAACTAGCCGTGGATGCGATGCGAACCGGAGTCGTTTACTGCACCTGGGAGTGGAGTGGAAGTGGAAGTCCTGGGAGCTGGGAGCTGGGAGCTGGTACCTGGAAGGATGGTCTTAACAGTTTCCCTTGCGCCTTGCTGCGTCATTTTGATGTTTTATTACTCGACTTCCGCCAGCCACAGCAAAATGGCGGCGGACCCTTTAAGTCCACCCACTTTCGCCCACTTTCACCCACCGCACGCAACGCAAAAAGTGGCCAACATGAAAAAAATGAAGTGTTCAAAGGTAAAGCGACTCGGCCCCATTCGTCTGTATATATTCTCCATGGCAGAGGCATTAACATGGCGCTACTGTGCTTGTTCCGCTTTCTTGTACTCCTTGTAATGTTAGTCTTCCCACGATAAGTGAGAAGTTTGGTTATATTATTTATATGTTTAATTGCAATGTTATGGTACTAGTACTGCATGTACGGATTCGTCGCTTTATAATAATAAACATTTAAAAAAAAAAAAAAAAAAAAAAAAAAAAAAAAAAAAAAAAAAACTCCTTGTACTGGCCAAGAAGTTGGCCCTGCCTCGGGTTTATGTTTTGTAGCAAATTACGTTTTAATGCCGGGGCCAACCAAGTTTTATTGCAACTTTTGTTGCATTTCAGCTAAATTGAATTATGTACCCTGCCGTGTTCAGTCGCCCCAAGGGAACTGCGGAGTGTTTGCCGGAGTCAATGGCCCGACCCCGTTCTGCGATTTGTGCATAATTCTTAATCCCCCGGAATGGCCAGCGGTGGCCCATTTGCTTTGGTCAGACTGGGGAGTCCTAAGTTCAACCCACTGCTCTTTGCCACCTGGGTGTTTTGAATGAAGAAGGAGCAAAGGTTTTGAAACAGCGGTATATGGTTTATGGGCTTGCTACAATTTAGCTGCGTTTATGGACTACTAATACTTGCACTTACCTAATAAGAAAAACAAGCTTTGAGTGCTGCACAAACAAGAAATCCCTGCTATAGCTTGCACCCCAGTTTGCAAGTCGGACTCTGATAAGTGATAACAAAATGCAGGCACTAATGCCGCACTAATGCCTAATGAGGGTCACTTTTCATTACAATACTCGCTGAAAATCATTACAACATTCTAGCTGGCCATCCATCCAAGCCCGCATTCCAAGCGAACTCGAAAGGTATCCACTGATTAATGACGGGACTGGAGCAATAGATGAGTCAGATTTCGTGTATACAACCGGAACGGACCGGACACTGGGAATGCGGACTTACCTCTTCTGCAGGAATTTGCGCTTGAACTCGTGCAGCATTCCACCGCCGCCCGTGGCATCATAGTCGTTGCCCAGGCGGATCTTCTGGTGCTGCTGCTGAAGGAGGTGGCGATTGGCCACCCCGAAGTCCATCTGCACATCGACGATGAGCAGGAGGGTGAGCAGCACGAGGGTGGCGCCCAGACTGATGACCAGTCGCTCCTTTAATTTCATAGTACGCAGGACGGCCATGATGGGATTGGTGTTGCAACTGTTGTTGCTTGCAGCTGAAATGGCTTTTTGCTGGCCAAGTTTAGTGGGTGCGGCAGTCCCTTGGTTTTTCCTATTGATCGATCCAAAGCTGCGCAGCCTGGTCAGCCAGCCCAGATTGCGTCCGTTGATCTCGGCAGGAGCTGAGCTATCTTTGCAGGATTGCGCAACAGCCTCGGCAGTTTGTTGATCTTGTGATGTGGTGCGACTGGTGCGCACTATGCGACGCCTGATAACAACGCGGCGTCGTGGCGCTGCCTCCTCCTCCTCCGGCTGCGAGTCTGGGTATAGCACTCGATCCGGCGGCAGCTCCTCCTGCTCCGCTGAGTACTCAGCTTCAACTGGAGCTCTCCCGCCAATGGGCCCTGCGAGGTTTCCCCTCCGCCAATTGGCTACGCCTATTTGTTCAGCTGATAGCTGGCCGTTGAAGGGGCTATCATATACGTCGATATCAGTATTCGATTGTTGTTGCTGCTGCTGCTCTTGCTGCAACTGCAACTGCTGGCGATATCGAAAGCGCTGCAGGCGCTCTGCCAGCGGCGTCGATTGAGCTGCCGCTGCGACCGCCGGTCGATAGCTGCAAAAAAGCGGGAAATTTCATTAAAAACCAATGCAAATTCAAGGGTGCCGGTTGCTGCGTTGTGTTGTGCTCGTGATAGGCAATCAAAATTCTATTAAGTTTTCATGACTCGAAGGGTCTAAAGGGAACACAAACAAGTCACAAAAGCACGCCCAGCAAATCCTATCCGCCCACAGCACGAAAGCGGAGAAGAAACGTTTTATTTTGGGAGCAACGTTTTATGAAAATAAGGATATAAATAAATGCTTTAAATAGGCATTTGGTAAAAATACTACAGTCGCAGGAGACTAATAAAAAAACAAGTCATATATTGTTCCATATATGTATGTAAGGCTAATAAAACATTTATTTTGCTAATAAAACAAATTTATTCGACTGAAATTTATAAAGTATTTGAATGATATTCTCAAAGTTTCGAGCATTTTCTAAAAAGCAGCAGTGTGCAAAATGTAGAAACAAAACATAAAAATGCATCTAAATCTGAAAATTGACGCTAAATAAAACATCAATTATCAACGAATAATATTTTATTTTCGCTCTGCCAATTTGAAATGATATCACGAATTGATTTTTCATGAAAACCATTTATTTTTGCAATTTCCATGCGTACACTTTACACTTTTCAAGGTCCCCAGTGTTTTGATATTGTTTATTATTGCGATAAGCGCTTTATTTATTTTTCAAATGGCTAATTCATAACACCCACTCCACATATCCCAGTTGTGGACTATCCCTAACCATATCAAGTTTCAAAAATATGATCCTTTGGCCATTTTGCAGTTCGTATTTTGTGTCTGGTTATTCATAAAGCGGCGTCACGGCATCCGCCATGTTGACTGCCACCGGAAATGCGACAGCAGCCATTTTTTTTTTTTTGTTTTGCGTCGGCCACCGTTATCGCTGCTTTAGAGTGTTGTTGCTATTGCAACCGTGCTTTTGCCGGTGCCATCAACTTGCTTGTTGTAGTGCCATTTTATTGTCTCCATTTTTATTGTTCGTGTTTTTGCCGGGTCCACGTAGCATGAAGCATATTCTGCAGGCAGCCAGCTCGTGGCGGGTTCCAGTCGGAATTTGAATTGTAACTACAACAGGAAGGGCTGGTCGGTGCCAGGATCTGGATCTGGATCTGGAATAGGACCTGCAAAGTGGCCGTTGTCTGTTTTTGGCCGTTTGGCCGTCGGTGGTGTTGGTGGTAGTAAGCTAACGAAGCTTGTTGCTGCCTTGTTTTCTGCCCACATGCAAAGTCAACACGGCCCTGGTCGTTCGACAACCGAAAATTGTGGGCAAAATGTTGGATTGCCCTGGGCAACAAATGCCGTAACTGCATTAAATGTGACCAAAATATTCCAGCCCTCCACATGCACTCGAAAAAGAGGGCTCAAGTCGAAAGTAAACCGAGAAATTTTCAAGGTATTAAAAAAAAATTCAACAAAAGCTTCTCTTCAATCATAAAAATCAGGCTACTTGCCAGTGAATATTTGTGAGTAAAGCACTGTAGAAAGAGCTCTCCTTTTCGGCAAGTGTAGGTCTATTGCTGAAAGCAAAAGATTGATTACATTTGGTTGAACTTCAGTTTCAATATTTTCCTGAGTGCATGGCTGTATGGACTGCAAATTGAATGCGAAACCCTTTGACTGACAGGCCTACCGATTTGTTGCTGACGTAACTCGGCTCACAAATTAAACGTCAAAAATGCTGATTACAAGCAGGGCTGATAGGAATAAAATGGCAGAGGCGGCACTAAATTGGCAAACAAAGGGCGTCCGAAAATGGCAGCAGCAGGATCACTGTGCCGCCATGTCAATCAAATCACATATCATGCCAATTTTCTATGCAGGTTCTCGCTCCAGAGCTCTGGGCTGCCGGATGAGATCCTGGCAATTGCTCATATCCATGACGAGATGATTTGACAGTCGCAGAGTGGGCGTGGCCAAGGGGTGGCGACCAGACGAGGGTTGGGCGGGGCAAGGGGTTAGGGGTCATGGATTGGTGGCTTTAGGTACATGAAGTACGTGTACAAGGAACTCAGCTGAAGAGACTTGGCCCGGCAACACAATGGCACATCTCTCGCCGTCAGCAGCGCGTTGGCAACATCAATGGGCAGTCAAATGCAAAGCACATACGTAATCCCAGGAAGAGCGGGTGGGCTGGTGGGCTGGAGCACTGGAGAAGCGTCATCCACACGAGTTTTGCCTATCAGCCAGCCGGTGAGGGCGATAAGCACTGTGGCAGTGACAGGGCAAGTCGAGTGTGAGTGTGAGTTCGAGAAGGGCGAACGCAGTTAACAGCAATTGCTGTCGTCGCATTTTGTTGTCGCTTGATAAAACTGCTGCGTTGCATTAAATTAAACTCATGCGGTGTATTTAAATGCCGCATCGTCGAGGGTCGAGGCTCTGGAGTCAACTGAGAGTCGAGTAAAAATAGCAACACCAATCGTTTTAATGCAATTGCTGACAGCAGCAACAACAGCGCCAGTGAGTGACAGCAATTTCCTTTCCAATTTGCGCTTTGTTTTTATTAATCAGACATATAGCGGGGCAAGAAAAAAATATAAGAAAAATAAAATAGAAAAATTGTAAAGAAAGCGCAATGAGACGAGATGTACTTAAATGAGCTGGAGGGCAATAAAGTGCAAAACAATTTAGAGCACCATATCGCAGTGAGTTGAGTGAGGGATATGTTAATCATTCCACTTCAAAAGGGGCTCATAAGCGAAGATCGTGGGAAGTTCCAATGACCTTCTTATGATTAATCCAATCAATTTCGATTAAGCTTCAAGCCACTCCCCATTCAATTTAAAGTCACATATTTGGAACAGCACAAAAAGTACAAAACACTGCGCTAATCGACCACTAAATCAATTTTAAGCCAAATTGGAGCACTCCGCATTGAAGTGGGCTATCGCAATGCGATAAATCAAACTCCCTTTCAATCAAACTTGACAAATGCCTTTCCGCTACCTTTCTCCAGTGCAATTAGCCTTCGCCGGTCAACGAACTGCATTCCCTGGACTCTCGCTCCGTACTTGATATTATATAGTAGTTGTGCCGCACTTGAGTCGCAGCTGCTAGAGCCCCACATTATCCAGTTTTCCCCCCGCGATTTGCTCTGCATGATTGCACTGCAGTGGAGGGGATACCCTTGTAATTTTGTTGTTAACAAATGCAATGCGTAACCCGCTTGAAACCCAGCTCGATTCGAATCAAATCAGCGATTGTGCAACAGCTTGAAGTGACACGCTCAGTGCATCCACATCCACATCCACATCGACATCCACATCTATATCCACCCAGTTGCCCCGCGTGACTTGGCCACGCACCGATGGCAGTCGAGAATTCCACTGGCCGGGATACGAATCCGATTCCATTGGCGATGGCGATGGCGGTGGCAATGGCGGCGGCGATGCCACAAAAGACCCGACTTATTGATCGATTTGTTGCCACACTATTTGAGCGGTTTGCACTTGAGCTGCTTACAACTACTGTTGCCATTACGGAGCCGCCACCTTATCGACCCAATCGAACGGGCAATCAATCGCGATGCCATTCGATATGCAAATGTTGGCCAAACTGTTGCAGCCATCGTGTTGCCAATTCGGTCGAGTCGAGTCGAATCGAGTCGAGTCGCATTGAGGGTGTCAAGGTTAGTTTGGCTTACACGTTTGGCTCATTTACATGGCTCCCTTCTCCATTGTATGGCCACTGAAGCATCCGCTAAACTTCAGCAAATTGCGGCGGGTGCAAGGGTTTGGAAAATGGAAAATAGAAAATAGAAAAGCTAAACGCAGTTTGGGTTAGTTGCCTTTCTGGCCATGGCTATTCCTTCACTATCTCATTCCCTGTGCTTTTGGCCCTTTGTCAATTTACCTTTGGCTGTGCAAACTTTCGCGCTGCTCCGTCTGAAAGTCCAAATCCCACTGGCCGTCTCGGGAAAATCCTCCTTCTTGCAGCAGGTGATTCAATGGCAGCGATTTCTCAGCAGATTTGCCCCAGGTCATTTCATTACCAAAGTCAACAGAAGTGTCCTGCTGCTGCTGCTGCTGCCACTGCTCCTGCTGCAACTTCTCGTTGCTGTTAATAAAATTTTCCAGCTGGCTCGTCGACCTCCAGTTTTTGTGCTCGGATGGAGTCCGGCTCATTGCCAATTCAAATGCACTCTGATGGCAGCCATTGTGCGATGTCCTGGGAATTACCAATGCCGATGTCCTTGTAGAAGCCGGTGCATAGGGACTTGAGCCCAGCTCGTTATGGTCCTGGCCATTGTATTGTCTCACTGCCGATTGATTCGCAGTCATTGGCAATTGATTTATGCCCAGAGCGTAATCATCGAAGCTCTTGGAACTGGACAGGCCCATCTGGCTGCCCATCCTGCTCCCCAATCCGGTACCGATCCCCAACCCGATACCGTTTCCAATCCCATCCTCCTGGCTGCTGACTCTCTGGAGCGAGAAGCTGCTCTGGCTGCGGCTCCTTTGACGGGATTCCTTTTTTTTGGCCAACTCAGCCGGCGAGGGGGCGAAGAGGTTCCGGATGCTGGCATTCCGTTGCCTTAAGTCCACTTCGCTGCCGCCTGACTTAACCTGGTTTGATGGAGAGACGCGTAATTGTAAATGGAAAGCTCGTGCCCAATTTCGTGTTCATGCTCAAGCAAGGGGCAATCTTTCGGTGTTAGTAGAATCGAACGGAGGGCGGGGGTAACGGCAGAACAATTGTTATCTTACGGATAGTGGCAAGCCAACAATAATTTAAGCCATCAACGGAACACAACTCAACGCAATTCAACTCAATGGAACTCAAGTAAAAACCAGGGAGGACAATGCTCGGTCAATTCGGCGCCCTTTCATAATCGGATGAAAACATTTGTGGAGTGCTACTTACACTCGTCCTCGAGGCAAGTGACATTGAATGAGGCGTACTCGAGGAGGCCAACTAGGAGACTTTTCCTCCTCCAGCCGACGGGGTCATCAAGTGGATGTGGCCCACAGCTCGCAGC